CACCTGCTTGTCAATATTCACAGTTTTTTCACTGCCTGGCCCTGTAGTGGCAATCTCAGATTAGTCACTGCGTTCCCGGCCTTTGGAGTTACGGTCTTGGAGAGGAAGGAGATGGAGGAGGATTGCAGTTATCTGGAAATAATGAGGCAGGTGGGCTCTGTATGCCAGCTGTGCAAAAAGGAGTGGAGTGATCTAACCGAATGCCAAATGTGAGTTAACGTGTGAGATGGTTATTGAACCCTGTGAGGCTAAATATGAATTAGCATGCATTTTGTATGGCTATGACTAAAGCAGCCACAGATTGATCCCATTTTATTCTGCATGGCTACTCTATCATTAGTTTCATTTGACATAGAGAACAGTAAACCAATTTTCACGGTTACACAGTGGCGTTGAATGGTGAGTTTTTTGAAAGACTAATAGAAGTGGTGACCAGAGCGTTAAATTCAACTTTTTGTAAGAAAACAAGGAAAGTATAATAGTTGCTCAGAAAGATTTGTTGCACTGAGAGAATATTATATAAATCTGGCGTGCTGTTGTGCTTGCTCATGATGATGTTCAAACAGGGACAGGACTTCTATTCATCTAGTTTTGGAAACAAAGAGCTTCCATCAGAAACAGTATAGTGATGTTTCTACCTCATTTTCGATAAAGTGTAGAGACCCTTCTTATAGGGAAATGTGAAACATTGTTCAGGAGCTGCAAATTTAAGGGAATTCCATGTATGAATCCACAAAATCTGCAAATTTAAGGGAACCCAGTGTATGAATTCTTAAAATCTGATAACTTCAGGCCCATTTCAAAACTAGATTTTTCGGAAAGAATCCAACTTTGCTGATAATCCCCCTGGCATAGTTTCCCTTTCAGTGTTGCTCTCACATGTCTACACAGTCACAGCTGCGTCCTGCCGGACTCGCAGTTGTCCGACCATGCTCTGGGTTTGCCTGTGCTCGGTGACTGCTTGGGATCTCTTAGACCTAGGCCACCTGGCCTCTTCTGCGGGGGAATTTCACAGAATCACAGACTGGTTGGGGTTGGAAGGGACCTCTGGGGATCATGCAGGCCAACCCCCTGCCGAAGCAGGGTCACCCAGAGCAGGCTGCACAGGGCCACGTCCAGGCGGGTCTGGAATATCTCCAGAGAAGGAGACTCCACAGCCTCCCTGGGCAGCCTGGGCCAGGGCTCCGTCACCCTCAGAGGGAAGAAATTCTTCCTCATCTTCAGCTGGAGCTTCCTCTGCTTCAGTTTGTGCCCGTTGCCCCTTGTCCTGTCGCTGGGCACCACTGGAAAGAGTCTGGCCCCGTCCTTCTGACACCCACCCTGCAGATATTTAGAGGCATTTCTAAGGTCCCCTCTCAGCCTTCTCTTCTCCAGGCTGAACAATCCCATCTCCCTCAGCCGTTCCTCACAGGACAAATTTGTGTTTGGAGAGGATGTTCATACATGTTTGAGCCCCGTTCTCACATGCGTTGCATCTCTGCACCGTGAGTACAGGTATGTGCTCGGACCTTATGCTAAAGTTCACTTTGGTGACAGAGAGTATAGATATAATGGGTTAGAAACATGATCTCGTGTGAGATGCGTTGTGTGAAGAGTCTATGCAGCTTCGGGATGTCTGATGGACACTCAAGTACAGAGAGGTCTCGGGGAGGCACAGGACAAACTGATATGCTGAAGCAGTAGGTAGTAATGTCTACCAAGGCAGAGGTTAGAAGTGGGATCAATGTTCTCGGGAGAAATCAGAGAGCGCTGGCTCTGGGTCCTGCTGACGAGGGGGGTGAGCTGCTGCTGCCGCCCACCGCGAGCCTGGAAGTCCACATCTTCCAGGTGGGATGAGCAGTAGGATTATCCCTTTGGTTGGCTGGCTCCTGGGGGAGATGTCTCGGGGCTGCAGGGTCAGTTTGCAAATGGAGGACCTCCCTCTTGCAGGTATGTGACAAGTGGCTGGCAATGTGATCTCTTGTTATATGTTCAGCAAGATGCTCAGAAACAAGTAGTTCCTAATTTTATGATATCAAACTACTGTGTATTAGATTCTTTTTGAACAGTGGTAAATGTATCATGAAGGGTTTTAACCACATTTCTCTTTTTTTTCCTCCAAAAAGTTCTGTAAATAACTCCTGTAATACATGGGTATGATAAAAACTCGCACATTTAGTACTGAAAGGTAAGAGAACACAAGCATCTGGGTCCGCTGAGGCTTTGTGCGTTCAGAATAATCTGTGATCTCCTCTTCCTTTTTTATCTTAATTTGTTAGGGTGGTTGGTATTCTATGGCAACCCGAGTGTTCTTGCTCTGGGTGGATTTGACTGTACCGACACTTTGATAAATATCTTTTTCTCAGACTGCGCAGTGCTACTGTGAAGTGACTGCTCGGAGTCACACCTGCACACTCAGGCACTCTGGTCTTTTCATACATTCGGTGGTGTCTGTTGATTTCTCTCACGGACTTATTTTTTTTCTCCTATTTGTACTGTAAAAGCAACACGTAAATCTTTGTTCATTCCGTTCCATTTGAGCCCATTAAAACACTCCTCCGGTGCGCTGCCTCGGGCTCTCGCTTGCACTGCAGCAGGGCAAGCTTCCTTTCCTGTTGTAACCACAACAGAGGAGCACAGAAAGCTGAATTTTAAGGTTAAGCAGGCCCTGGGGTCTTCACAGGTGTCTTGAAAGTTGTTTAGAGAAATAAAATAATCAAGGACTTGATTTGAACTCCAGAATCTTCCCCTGACAGCAATGCAGGAATCGCGTTTCATTCCTTGCAATGCAAGGAACCAGCAGAGTTTTGGAGCAAAGTCGTCTCTAAGATGCATTTTTGATCAGTGCTGTTGTTCCCTCTGCCCCTCCACGGTTTGCCTCCTACACCGGTTATCCGGAACCTGTGTGAGTCCCTGAATTCCCAGGGGCCAGGTTGAAGTTCAGCTGCCGTACGCTGCAGAGCGAGGGCAAGCCTCCCTCCTGCAGATCCGTTTCCTGAACCCGTTCTTCTCCCACATGGAGAGGTGGGACAACTGAGACAGATTAATGTAGTTCTGGAATATCTGTCTTGGCACTGCTCAAGAATGAAGTGCCAAATTTCACAAAATCCCCTGGGAGATGGGTGGTATCAGTTGCAGAAATGAGTGAGAAGTCTGTAACTTGTACAGCTGGCTGCTGGGATTACAGAATCACAGAATCACAGACTGGTAGAGGTTGGCAGGGACCTCTGTGGGTCACCCAGCCCAACCCCCTGCCCAAGCAGGGTCACCCAGAGCAGGCTGCACAGCACCGCGTCC